AGCTGCCTTGGATTTTGAAAAGTACTCTATAAATAAAGATTCTTATAGGTATTATTGACTTCCATTAGTTTCCACAGGTGGACCTAATAAAGTGGCTGCCGTCTGTTGACAGCAGTGTGGTGGACTCCAGGCATTAAGGAAGTCATGGACCAACATCAATGAAACACAGGATCAGTGAGCCACAAACTGGTGTACAAGGTGACACTTCTGGATGCACAAACTTTGGTCCAAAGTTCTACAACGTGTTATTGAAATCACTTCACGGTTGTTGTTTTTTTTGTAATAAAAAAATAAAATAATGTCTCGTCAATTAACACACAGACACAAAGTCAAACGACCTGATGTGACTGAACTCCTTCATCTCCCCACCAGCCTCAGAGGATCAACACTGTTCATATCATAAATGGACGGTTTAAATCTCCATTAATAGAGCTGCAAACACACACTGACAGTGAGTTCAAACAGCAAATAACTTCATTATTATTATCAGACCGCAGCTCAGAGTCTGGCTGTTTGGTTCTGAGGAAGCAGCTTCTCATCACAGCCACAGGGTGAGAATAAAGAAAAGATTAATAGTTAAATCAGAGGGCTTACCGTGTGACCAGCAGTACCAAAACTTACAGCGTAAAGCTCTGAGTGAGGAAGAAATGACGCGTTTACTTTCGGTTTCAACAAGTCAGGCAGGAAAAGCGAGAAGTGTAGCGCCTAGAAGTTTGTACGGAAGCCGGTTTGAAAAAAAAAAGGTCACATAATATGTCATAATGCTGAAAAAACCTGTCTTTATTACGGCTAATTATAATAATGAGAAGTTATTATGACATATTATGTGACTTCCCTCCAGTGGCAGAAGTGGGCTTCCATCAATATAACCTCATAAAAGATAAACAAACAAACAAACAAAAACACAGGAACATAGATGGATGTAGAAAGTCACAATTTCAAGCTGAAAGTAGGAAGTTGCTTCACACTGAGACTGTGGTTCACATCAAGTCATGTCACATCTTGTGATCCAGCGCCACCTGCAGACAGCAGGAGGAAACACAACACAAACACCAGCAAACAGCTGCATGAAGCATCTGACAAAGCTGCTGAAATCCACAGCAACACTTCACAGAGTTTGTTCAGCCAGCTTCAGCTGTCAGTGATATTTCTACAAAACATTTTTTACACATCACAGCAGGAAAATGGGTTTAAACAATGAAAGGAAAGATGGATGAATTCCATTTAGTGGCTTCAGTTTTATGGGCTTAGTATTATTGCTGTCTCACTCATCCATCATCTATACGCTTTAATCCTCACTAGGGTCATGGGGGGCTGGAGTCTATCCCTGACTCAGGGTGAAGGCAGGTTCACCTGGACAGGTCACCAGTCTATCACAGGGCTACACTTAGAGACAGACAACCAAGCACTCTCACATTCACACCTATGGACAATTTAGAATCACCAATTGACCGGTGAGGACACCCGGGATCTTTCTGTGTGGAGTTTGCATGTTCTCCCCGTGCAGCGTGTGTTCTCTCCAGGTTCTCCGGCTTCCTCCCACACAGTCCAAAATATGTTGAGGTTATTTGGTGATTCTAAATTGTCCATAGGTGTGAATGTGCATGGTTAGAGTTTTTTATTTAAATACATATATATTGAAGAAGTTACCAAGGAACAATGTTGTTGAATTTTATTCTTATGGTTGTTTCCCTGATCTATGGAGAGCAACGCACTTTTGGAGTCAGCCTCAAGTTGACACTANAACTGGCAACTTCAGAATCAGAATCAGAATCAGAATCAGCTTTAATGGCCAAGTACGTACACAACATACAAGGAATTTGGTTTCGGCTGTTGGTGTCGCCCTAGGAATTTGCAGGAATAATAGAAATAGGAAAATAATAAAGTACAATAACTACCGAAATAAAATAATAAAATAAAATACAATAAATAATAATAAAAAATAAAGCAAGATAATAAGACAAATATATACAAGAATTTACACATCTGAGCAGAAGATGTATATGTGCATTGTACAAAACAGAAGTGCAAATAACAATTTTAGCTGAGAATGGCTCAGCTGTTCAGTAGGGTTATGGCAGTGGGGTAAAAACTGTTCTTAAGTCTGGTGGTTTTAGTCTGCAGGACTCTGTATCGCCTGCCGGAGGGGAAGAGGGAGAACAGTTCTTGACCAGGATGAGTGGGGGCTGTGATGATGTTCCCTGCCCTCTTCCTGGTTCTATTGGTGTACAGTTCCTGGATGGAGGACAGGGGGGCTCCACTGATCTTCTTGGTGGTTCTGACTGTGCGCTGCAGTCTGTGTCTGTCCTGCAGTGTGGCTGCTCCAAACCACACAGTGACAGAGCTGCACAGGACAGCTCTGATGACGGCGGTGTAGAACTGAATCAGCAGCTCCTGTGGCAGATCGTGTTTCCTCAGCTGTCGCAGGAAGTACATCCTCTGCTGAGCCTTTTTGAGGCTGCAGCGGATGTTCTTCTCCCACTTCAGGTCCTGGGTGATTGTCGTCCCCAGGAGCTTGAAGGACTCTGCAGCTGACACAGGGCTGCTGCTGATGGTGAGGGGGAGCAGTGGCGAGGGCTGTCTCCACAGTCTTGAGCTTGTTCAGCTCCAGGTTGTTCTGGCTGTAACAAAAACACCAGCCGCTCAACCTCCTGCCGATATGCAGACTCGTCACCATCCTGGATCAGGCCGATGACTGTAGTGTTGTCTGCAGACTTCAAGAGTTTGACAGCTGGGTGCTTGGAGGTGCAGTCCTTGGTGAAGAGGGAGAGGATAAGTGGAGAGTAACAAATGCTTTCATCAGTATGTCAGATTTTCTGATCCAGTTTGTTCATCCATTTTCCCCCTGACATACTGAAATCAATAGATCAATGTATAAACAACAACAACAAAAAAAACTCATTCATCCAAAGCTTTTTTTTTTATTTTTATTTATTTTTATTTTTTCTAAGCTTTGATAGCATCCTCAGAAAAAACAGCAAGGTAGTCAGGTATGATCCAAATCACGGAAAAATTAGTCAATAAGATCAGTTGTTCAGGATACAGCAAAAGTCTCTGATAAATTTTAAATAGAATGTTAAAGAGTGATATCCCTCAGACTGCACCTCTATCGTGAGTTAGTAGATAGTAGGAAAGTATGTCGCTAATAGAAAAATCTTTTTACCCCCAACTGGAAACTGACAGTCTAATATGTAGAAGACATGTCGATTTCCTACACTCAGCAGTTGCCCGTGAACGCAGCAGGGGTTCCATGGTGTAATGGTTAGCACTCTGGACTCTGAATCCAGCGATCCGAGTTCAAATCTCGGTGGGACCTTAATTTAAGCGTTTGGTCACGAAAAGTAAATCACATAAAAAATAATTAAACGAAAGGCTCATAACTAATGAAATGTCTGGAGGAAGTCACCTGTTTGCCCTGTATCAATGAAACTGTTTTATATACACAATTATTATAAGATCTCACACAAAATTCATCCGAGTTAACACATGAAGTCTGAATGATGATGTTCAATATGTTTGATCTAGAATTCCAAAATAAAGGAAGGATGGTAAAGCGCTCTAACCGCTGGAAAGGGTGTCACTTTAAATAACATGTTCTTTTGAGTCTGATTATAAGGTTTTGATGATGCCTTGAGTGAAGATGGCAGCTGCAACTGAAACACACGACCAGCACAATGAATGAATCACAGCTTCCACATTGTGGCAGAGATCTGTCTTTTACTAAATGATCACAATGAAAACAGGTAGACTTAGGGAACTGACAACAGTTCTCCCCTGACCAACAACTGGGACAAAAAAACAAAAAAAAAAAAAAAAAAACCCACAAACATTTATTCAGTAAATGCACCATCATCTGTCTTTATCTATACAGAGAGCAGCTCAGGTGTTCAGTAAAAGTTACCATGGTGATGTATTCCTGTATGAAGCAAACCACAGTCATAATCCTGAAAACCTAAATCTAATCTCAAAGGTTGCCACAATATCCAAGTTTAGAAATCCTTGTTATTATGGAAAAGCTCTGTGTCACATCACCAGTAATCCAACAGCAGAGTGGCGCAGCAGAAGCATGCTGGGCCCATAACCCAGAGGTCGATGGATCGAAACCATCCTCTGCTAAGCTTTACTTTCTCCTTTCAGAATGGTTAAAGCAGTGGTTCTCAAAGTTTTTCTGTCGCACCCTGCTTTGTAAGAGGAAAAAATTTTCAGGCTGTTATTTCATAACAACAGTTATTATAATAACAGTTCAAACTGTGCAACAAGTGCAGGTATTTGGAAAGAAATATGAAATCAATTTGTGAGTCTCTCATCACTATTAGTGGCTACAGTGAGCCTGTTTTTCAACTGCAGATCTTTTCAAAGCGGAGCTGCAGGCTTGTTACTGACACTCTTAATTCATGTTCAACATTCAGCTTCGACCTGTACATTGTTTTCAGAGAAGCCACAGCAGAAAAGCTGATCTCACAGAGGCAGGAGGTGGCGAAGGGAAGCAGAATACTCACAGCCGCAATGAACGGATGCTCCCTCTCCACACAAACCCAGAACTCACTCAGTGCCTGTGATGAAAACTGCAGTCTCAGGGAGGAAAAGGCAATTTAAAAAAAATAAAAATAAAAACGACTAGCTTTAAATGAAAACCATTCCTGGCCAAATCTGGTGTCGTATTACATAACACTCATGGTCATTATTGGATGACCTCATACACACAGAGAAATGCTCTAAAATACAATAGAAAGGCTTATGAGGTGTATTGTATGTTATTGTAGTTTCCAGTCTTTGTTTTCACACTAACCTTTCCACTTCTAAAGAAAAACAAAGGTCCCCAAATTTAGCCAGTAACAGCTGCAAGACTGTAAGATCTAAATGAACAACCGCACAGATTTATTTCCCCCTCCTACCTGACCAAGGGGGGATTTGAAAAATTCTAGAAAAAATGGCATTGACTTTCATCTAATCAAAACTCTAAATTACAGAGTAAAAAGCAGCCTTACAGCAATCAGACATGAAGGGATGCTACATCAGTTTTATTCTTAGTGGTACCAAGCAGCCTTCTGACAGATAAAACTTGGTCCCTGTACAGACATCTGCATGATGGAGGAGGTTGAACACACAGTACTTCACATTAAGTTCTTCTGTTTAACATTTAGGTGTATGAAAAGAAAATATATTAAAGCACAGTTGCAGTAATAACAAACTATGTCTTAATGGGAGACATTATAGCAAATTCTGTACCGTAAAAACACATTTAAAATTCCTTCATATCTGCTGACAAATAAGTTAAAATGTGATATAAATATCTGTATCGAGCTTACTCTGACTAAACAGTGGAACTGAAATGTAAAGTGTTACCACAAATGATTATACAGTTATGAGAAAATACTTCATTGTAATTGGCTGGCAGCTGTTATTTAAAAAATTACATAAACATCTGAAGGTCTCCCACATGTAGGTCTGTAGGTTTCCATGCTACATGGATCATGTAATTGTATTTTGTAAAAAACAAATAATAATAATATGATCATATAATGTGCCTTCTGTCATAATTATCTTCATGTGTTGATTTATGGTTTGTGGATGGTTATATTCAATGATCCAGTGGTGCTGCTGCTGCTGATCATCGGGGCGATGACAACAGATCCTTCCTGAGCTGATATTGTGGCTGCAGGAGCAGCAGCAGCAGCAGCAGCAGCAGCAGCAGGGGGGCTCTGAGCAGAGGAGGAGGTGGAGGGAGCAGCTGGTCTTCCCTCTGCAGGTGAAAAGACACAGAAGTAAAAGTTAATACAAACAGGTGATCACAGGCTGGCAAGAAGCAGCTTGTTGGTTGCAGGTAGAGTTTAAGAAACGCATCATTCTCCTCACCAGCATACATGCTGCACAACTTATCTGCTAAGCTGTTGTTTCTCATCTTCTTCAGGATCTCAACAGTGAGGCGCACAGCCGACTCTTCCCCGTAGCTCTCTGTCAGCTTGGTCACAGTTACAATCCGGGACGCTTTGTCCAGACGCGTCTTAGGAAACCGTTTACATTCGTCCAAGTTGTCCATCGTGCAGTACCACTGAAACATTTTCAATTCTTCGTCGATCAGGTCTTCCAGAATTTCGAGGAGCAGCTGTTGAACCTGCATGTCTGCTCACTGAACAGACAGAAAGGGGGAAATTAGTTTTCAATTTACTTTGTCAGTCTTTGACTTGAAAGGAAAAACTGGCTTAAAGTTGAGAAGATGTTCAAGACTCAGAAACAGACTCTCACATGTGTCCATGTTTGAAACTGTCTTTTCAAACACTAACACCTGGAGAGGGACTGCAAAAGTCAAAGTCCTCAAGTTCCTCGTTGTTCTGAAATGTTGCTAACTTATTAATAAATAGTGCAAAGTTTAGCACATCATGGTGTTTTCAGNACCAAGGAACAATGTTGTTGAATTTTATTCTTATGGTTGTTTCCCTGATCTATGGAGAGCAACGCACTTTTGGAGTCAGCCTCAAGTTGACACTAGTTTAACTGCACTTTTTGCCCAAGAAGTTACCACTTGATTCAACAAGTATTTTATATCAATTGCATAAAGATAATCTGAAAAATATAACCTGTTATTTGGATCTGCTGCATGTTTCTGAATGATTTGGAAAAAGGAAGTGACGTCTGAGCCTGCGGAGGCGGAACAGGAACAACGGATCGGTCTGCGCAGCGTGAGCGTGAATAACTTTAACGTTACACAGTTTAGCTTGTTATTACCGCCGTTATACAGCACCAAACCTCCTCTGCGGTGTCCTCTGGCTTTCAGGACTGAAGATGTTTAACAGACAGACCAGCCTGTGGATGGGTGATGTACGTCTGACTCTGTTTCTGTCGCGCCGTTAGCTTTAGCTGCGCGGGCTGGTTGCTAGCTAGGCTCCGTTAAGTTAGCCCGGATATGTGACCCTGCCGGTAAAGGTTAGACTAAAGTCCGGTCCCAGGTGTTTAGTTAAAACGCTCTGACGTCAAACATTTCCGTACACCAAATATTACATTTATAGTCGAATTATTCCACAAACGCCCCTTGTATTCATATTATGCTCTTTGGCTAAGCTCTCCGTCGAGGAGTAGCGAACATTAGCTGACTAACTTTACAGCGGCTAGGCGTTAAAGTTCAAATATGGCGCTGATTTGTTTACCTGCAGCTTTTTGTATTAAATAACACTAGAAACGACATAAAGAACTCCAACAAACAGGTGGTTACAGTGAATAAATGTTGTCTAATTTGCAGGAAGAAGTGTAACCTTTGTTATGTCATTGCCAGCTGCCAGCCATGCTGCAGGTGGTCTCATAAACATACAGTAGGAGCTAACTATCAATCAATATATTGGCTATTTTGCCCGTTAATCATTTCATCAAAATGAGTAATTTTCGCCCAGAAAAGCAAATGGATTGTGTAAGTTTATTTTATGAAACTGTGTAGTACAACACAATATGATATGTAAACAAATGTTTACATATTGTAGTTCAAAACTGTGGAGTTAAACCGGAAACTCCAGTATAGTACTTTTAAAAATGCTTATTTTTATTCTGTTAAACCCCTCATTAAGTTGAAGAAGCACAGACTGGCTAAAGTAGCTCCGTTTCTCCTCTTGTGCAATTTCTGGTCCCCAATCATCTCAGACATTAAATGTTTCCCAACACAACTTTTGAGGTGTTTTTTACCAACACCACTGATCATGTTTTTAGAATTATGGTCCTGACTTAATACTAAAGCGTGGGCACTCATGACATCCCTAGCTGTGACAGATTAAAATGAAACATTAAAAAAGCTGTATTACACTCACTAATATCATTCTATAAACAGTCAGCCTGATTTGTCCTAAGTATTTGTACAAAAACACTGAGGTGCATGTATATAAACAAATGTTAAAATCACCATTGGCCATGCTGGTTTTGTCATGATTTATCAGTGTTTTATACAATTTTTCCATTTCTGTTATATGCAAATAGTACAATGTTATGAACATTAGTGTTTGGTTTAAATTTAACATGTCGCATGTTACATTTCTTTGCATCTTCCTGTAGTTGGACCCATACATGGACGAGAACTTCATCAAGCAGGCCTTCAGCGCTATGGGAGAATCGCCGTTTGGAGTCAAGATCATCACTCACAGGATAACAGGGTAGGAGCACCTCAGACCACATATCAGCCTCTGTGTCAGAGCTTTGGGTACAACTGATAGAATATTAGATGTGCACCTGGGAGGTTTTCTCCCAGAATATTATTGATTTGAAGGTACAAAGCTTTATCTTGCATATTAAGACGCTATAGACTTTAAGCAGATATTGTGCTGGTCATTCTTAACCAAAATGTCAAAGCAGGATTGATAATGTTACTTTATACAATCAGTGTAGTCTTTTCGAAACAGAATTTTGCAACAGCCCTGCATTGTGCACCTTAAATTATACAATTCTTACACTACTGATCAAATGTTTCAGAACACCTCAATTTTTCTAGTTTTTGCTGAACTTTACCCTGAGATGTCCCAGTGTGCTCTGACTTGAAATCACAAAAAAAGAAAAAACAATTGGATTGAGCATTCCCATAAACCTACTGAAAACCCTGGAAGTAGTGTTCAGTTTGATGATAATAAATACTGACAAAGTGTTCATTACCAAGCTCTTGTCTTTCAGATAAAGTCATGATTTTATCAGCTTTTCATGACAGAGTGACAGTGTTTATTATCTATTAAAGTGACCACAGACATTTTCTTTTCTAGACTGACTTTTCCATAGCTGATGTAATTGCTGTAATCATGCTTTTATGTATTCCTGAATTCATTTCTCACTGTCTGTCTCTACGATTCCCGTCCTCCTGTGCAGTGGTTCAGCAGGATACTGCTTTGTGGAGCTGGCAGATGAAGCGAGCGTCGACCGATGCGTCCAAAGGCTCAATGGAAAACTGGTTCCTGGATCAAACCCGGTCAGTTCTATGGTGTAATTGCAAAATACTTATTCATGTCTATGTTGCAATCCTCACAGCAATATATGTGATTATTGTTTGTCCATAAATATATAAATATTATTGACAATTTAATACTGCCTTCCTTTTTTTCCCAGTAGACTTATGTTATCAAGCAGTATTTAATTGTTGATTTGACTGTGGATAGTGGAGCTCAACTAGTCTTGGTCCTGCTTTGTTCTGCCAGAAACACAACAGTATTTGATGCCTATAAATCATTATTTTGCTCTGTAAACACACCATTTTCGTGTTGAGGCATTAGTTAAATGTGCCAGATCTACTTGATTTGCTGCTCGTGCTGTCACTAGAGCTGTATTCTAGTTGCTTTAAATATGGTTAATTAGGAAACAAAACTAAATAATAGTTACATATTACCTGAAGTGTATTGTGCTTAGTGCAGTGACAGCAAGTTTACCTGAAGGTCTGGTGATGTAAAACACACAAACAAAAAACGACTACATTCCAACTTTAAAATTTCAGTCTGAAACGGTGTGTGAAGTCGTGAGCTTTAGCTGCTTGCTCTTCAATTTGAAGTGCTTTTGGCCCTGTGGGCTGGCCAAGCTACTGGGCTCCCCTGTTCACCAGCCTGTATCTGCTGCTGAAGGTGGCTAAGAGGCTGCTTGTACATGAATGTACTTTGTTTGAAGCTGGTGAATAGAGTCTCTGGTAGGAACTAACTGAGGAATGGGCTAAAGGCTGGTCTGAGTGGTGGAGGTATGTAAACCCAAATAACAACCATAATAACTCCACTCTCTATTTCCAGCAATATCAGTGCTATACTACACGTCTTTGGTGTGTGAGGTTGTTTTAGTTTGTGTGTTTTCTCTTTTCTTGTGCAGCCCCGGAAGTTTAAACTAAACTATGCCACCTACGGGAAAAGGCCAGAGGCAGGGTAAGTTCTGATTTACATTGCTACTGCTGTTAACTTTTAATTGTTTATTGTCTTACTTGTATGGGTGCAAAGATCTATCTTGTTATATCTGTGTATGTGAAAAGTGTATATAGTGTTTATAGTCTTTGTTATTTTAATCTTAATATGATTTTTGTATATTTTGTCTTGGTTTTTAACTTGCTTTATTTTTACCTACACTCATTTCTTTCCCCCTTCTGCCTGTATCTCTTGTGCTGCTGTAATGTGTGAATTTCCCCAGTGAAGGGTCAGTAAAGTTTGTCTTTAGCTCACAAAGTTAAATGAGATATTATTTTACAGAAAAACTTCACTCAAGTTCAATCTGAATAGAGCTTTGACTTGCCCGAGTCATTAAAAACTCCTGAGTGGAAGTGCAGGACCTTTAAAAAGTAACATAAATGGAAACTCCACTGATTGTACACGTTAAGTAGTGTGTTTCCAGGTGGTGGGTGTGCTGCTGTGTGGGGACGTTGTTTATAGCTGCACAAAATGACACGTCTCACTTTGAAATGCTCAAATCGGAGACTGAGAAGTTTAAGTTCTAGATCCAGTGTTGGCAGTGTAGTCAACAAGGATTTACCAAGGAAGAGCAGTGGATAAAAAACACCCATAATTCTGATGTTGATCCTTTTAGACACTGTTGTAAAGTAGCTCCTCTAGAAAGTGTGTTAGTAGACTAGTAGACTGTACAAGAAAGTAAACTGATGCCCATGACAAAACGACAACTACAGAGTTTACAAATTGTTATTTATACTGTTAAAGAAAAGAATTGTCGTCCTTCTGATACACTTACAGTCCGAACACAACAACATGCGAACACACAGTCTATTGAGGCATCTGTGATCATGCACTAACCTGTGATACATAGAAAGGCGTTCAAGTATTTGTGTGGTGTTGGGTAGATCAGTGAAATACTAGAAATCCAGCTTTGCCTCCATTAGTGACTGCAGTATTTGTCTTTACAAAGTCAGAATATTTGATTAAAACCTGTTGTTTCTCTCAGGCCGGAGTTCTCAGTGTTTGTGGGCGACTTGGCCACTGAGGTGGACGACTTCCAGCTACATCAGGTTTTTAAGAAGTATCCATCCTGCAAAGGAGCCAAAGTAGTGACCGACCAGTACGGATACTCGAGGTATGTCGACTCCTACAGGCGTGACAACGAAATGCTGAAAGTACTGTTTGACATGAGATCATTTCTATGACTTTGTTTGGATGTGTTACTTTGTGGTTTAAATATTACAGTAAGAAATGTCCAATGATATGTAGAATGTTTTCTGTGCTGTAATGATTGTAGCAGTGCTATGGACGTTGACCACCACTGCATCTTCATCATTTTTCGAAAAAAGGCTGAAGAAATGTTTTCTTGCCGTCTTATGCTAAAACTATTGTTTTCCCCATATAGGCTAAGCAAGAGCAACTCACAATTCAAGTGATGCTACCTCATGTTAAAAGTAAAACAACAAGTTTCAGTTCTACCATAATAATACCCATTATATTCAGTTTCTCATAAGTGGCTATTAAATGCCAAGTACGGAGTGTGTGTCGGTGGGCGGAGGAGGTGTAACTGTCGTCTGACTTGCAGAGGCTACGGCTTCGTCAAGTTTGGGGAGGAGAGCGAGCAGAAGAAGGCGATCGAGGAGTGCCAGGGTACGATGCTGGGAGGAAAGCCACTCAGACTCAGTATCGCTGTAGCAAAGAGGTAAGAAAGGGACACGAACACAAACTGTCGACTGCACATCTTACTGAGCCTCAGCATGAAAAGATGGAAATAAGGGACACCACGACACAAAATCCACCTAAATAGGCTTAAAGTAACCAAAAGATGATGAGAAATGCCTTCACAGACTTTAATACGTACATTATAGATGATATATAGTGTAAGACTTTATTAAAGAGGTTTAGCTCAAGCACAGCCTGAAATCTTTCAAGGTGTGGAGTCTGCAGGCTGCTGAAAAGGCTTTTCTTCCATGTTTACCTGTACTGTGCACAGACCTCCTGAGTAAGAACCATGACCTCACATGCAAATCAAATTTGTTGCATTCAGCTTCATACTTTCAAACGAGTTACTTGATTATAGTTTGCTTGATCAACATTTCATTTGTCTCTGCTGGACATGTACAACTACAGGTCAACTTGGGGTTTCTTTATCCAGGATCTTACAGGAGGCCGTGTGACACGTGCTCAAGTCTGTGAGCGTTCATGCAGACATCCAAAATGTGTGACTCTGTGGAATTGGAATGCACTCAAAAAGTAATCTGGATACTCATTCAGTGTGCTGTAGTTTCCAGTCATGAGAGAAACTCATTAGAACAGTGGCTCTAGGTCACACTGTTGGATACAGATGTCCAAGTTTGGACCTTGGCATCGCAGACAGCCTGAGATAAAATTCAGATTTTTAGGACTTGAAGGGGGCATAACACTCAGGCTTCAAACGTTTCCTAATGTTTTTGATTTCTACCGTTGTGCTCAGATGTTGTCACATACCTTTACATGGTGCAGTCCCAGCACACCCATGAAGTGCAAGCAGTCCAGCTCCACAGGGGCAAGGTCCCAGTCTTCACTTTAAACACTGAAATGTACTTTATTTTATTTGCACATAATATCTTTAGCTGTTTTTGTCGGCAGGCTACACAGTGACAAACACAGACAAAACAAGACCAATGACAAATCAGATTTTTGGTTGCTTTTTAGCCCTTGGAACTACTTTTATGTTTGATTAAAATACTCAGTGACAACTGTGTGAAAATTATGCTTGATATTAGTACTTTGGCTTATTGTCAAACACAGTAGCAATACTTCAGTTATGTTTGACATGTGTACCTGTAGCTACATACAACTTTCACCTGAATGTTAGTCATTCTTACATTTCAGTTCATATGAAGTCTTTAGATCAATTAAGATTCTAGATTTACACTTTCTACTGTTTAAAAAGTCAAATAATTTCAGTTTTGCAGCCTTCAGATATTAATGAAACACTGTTGTGTGTTTTGTTTTGCAGCCAGAAGATGAGCAGCTACCACGGGGGCCAGGGCCAGAATTACCATAGCAACTACAATCAGACTCAGTCTGGTTACTATGGCAGCCACAGCGCCGGAGGTCAGGGGGGCTACTACTCCCAGTGGGGGGGCTACGACCAGTATGGCGGCTACAACAGCAGCGGGTACACCGGCGGTTATAACAGCGGCTACAACAGTGGCTACAACTACAACTACGGGCCGTACGGATACCCTCCACCAGGTCACATGATGCCCCCTCCACCCATGGGGATGCCACCCATGTCCACGGACATGTCAGGAGCTGTGGAGGTGAGGAAACACCCACATGCTTGGACATTCTGGGAAATGTGCTCATCTGATTATCAGTTTCATCTGTGTGTGTGTTAGTAGTAGCTTCACAGTAAGGATTAAAAAGAGGGAGAACTGCTAGTAGAAGAATGTCCACAATCTTGAAGCGATAGATCGTTTTCTTACGTATCATCTTGTCATGTGAACTTTGTGCACAAAGATGAAATTGTATGAATCTTTTCTATTGTCGAGTAGAAACGCAAGCACATTTTTCAAAATGTGAACCTTTTTCACTAAACTCTAGTCTGTCTCTGATTCCACCTAAAAATGGTAAATTGAGTGTTTACATGTCCACAACAAATCCAGTCTCTGGGAGAGATCGGGTTCTGTGGAACGAAGGCCAACATGTGTTCATGCACTTTAGTAACTTGACTGTAAATCCCTACGTAGCTGCTGCAGTTCAGTAATTAGATTTCTTCTCCATCTGAGAAATATTTTAGAATTGTTAGTTACTAATATATAAAATTAAAACATATGGTGACTAGTAAAGAGAGTTTCTCGTTTACATCGATCATTGCAGATGTAACCGTGGTAACTAAGTGCATATATACACTCTGAGATTGTTTATCGTCTCTATGTGATTAAAGGGTTAATGAAGCACTCAATGCTCATAGCAAGCTCTGAATAATGTGTATGCAATGTAAGATATGAGATGTAGACTGAATGCACCTGTCGTACTTTCATTAAGCATATCATTAGAAACATGCTCATGTTTAATGTCCTTCCCCAGCAGAGCCATGAGGAGACTGAAGACATAGAGGAGGACAACGCAGAAGGTAAAATCCTTTTTATATCTTACTGATAAGAGAAATAATCAAACTAGTCCTGTGTTGTCAAAGATACAAAGGACACTCAGTACTACAGGCTCCACTTCCACTGATCTGTTTGGTTTTGGAGCACTTTGAAACATTTTACTGTTATAAATAGTTAATTGGATATTGTGATGAATAAAGTAAAAAAATACTGAATATGTCCTTTTTAAAAAAAAAAAATCAATTGTAGCAGTAAATGGCTCCCTCAACTTGTAAATCGACAAAAGCCTGATGTACATATTTTGCATTGTTATTGCGTTTCGCTCATAATTGTTTTATCCTGTGACTGTATTAATCAGTATTTGGTGATATTTTGCAGAGCCCATCCCTGAATGCGACGTCGAGCTGTGGAACAAAGACTTCATGCAGCGCAGTGAGGAGCTCTACGACGCCATGATGACGTGTCACTGGGAGCCTCTGGACTCTGTTGACTCCCCCATCCCCTCCCTCTCTTGATAACTTGTTTTATTTTCCCCTTTTCTGCTCCCTCCTTTACTCTTGAATGACGATTTTGTACTCAAACGCCACACTGACACCTTATAAAGGCCAGCTAGAGCTCACTGTCTCAGTGCTTAACCTAAGTGAAAGCCGGCAGTGCAAACACGTTGTTCCTCTTCAAATACTTAAAAATGCACACAAACATTCTGTTGACTGTAATGTTTACCATGTTGGTAATAAACAGCAGGTTAGTTAGCACTCAGTGAAGTTACTGTGTAGTAAATACTGTCTATACACCAGAGGATGAAGGTGAGCAGAATCTGTAGCGTTACGAGCTGAATGTTGTGTATTCGTATGATGTCACTGAGGAACAAACACCAGTCATTTATTTTTGTTGATCCATGTTGTAGCGACCAGCAAAAGCTAACTTTGCTCTTTCAATGTGGCCCCCGCCTTGCATAGAAGAGATTGTCTTCTGAAGACAAAAATAACAACTATGCCTTTTATTGTCTTGCTGTGTGACCTGCTGTCAGTCCAGCGCGGTTATTAGACTTATTTTGTACATAGAACACATTAGGCTTTCTCCTCTCATTGATTTTTTTTAATGAAGGATTTGTCCTCCGTTTTTAAATTTTTCTTATAGATTTTATCTGGGTGGAGTGTGCAGTATGGAAAGATGATGATGATGATGATGATGATGATGATGATGATGATGATGATGATGATTTTACCCCCAAAAAAAAGGTCACCAGAAAGTTATTTATCTCTGTTTTCCAGACAAGAAGCTCAGTGTCTTTCTATGTAAATGGATGAATGGCGCGACCTCCCGATACGAGCGCTGTGAAACTGTACATGAGGGTTTCGTGGAGGTCGACGGCTGGTTTCATGTGTCAGACTTCAAGGCAGTGTTTATTTTCTGCTGTCTGATTGGCTGAAGTTTTGTATGTATTTTCTTTCTGGAGATGTTTTATCAATTAAACACATTTAGGAAGGAAAACGGAGTCTGTGAGTTGCTTTCGGTCTGTGGGTTGGAATTAATAATAACACGATGCCATAACAGAAGACGCAGCATCACCTGAAAGAGCTTTATTACGTTTTTCAGTTGTGTTAAGAGACAGATACCACATTTTGTATGCTTCAAAGGGTCGCACTCCTGGATCACTTCAGTCCAGGGCCCTTTGACGCTTGTCTTTCATATAATTTTCAGACAGTGAGCAGCTGCTGAGGTTCTGTAAGCTAAACGCTAACGTTAGCCTGCTTATGTTTCACCTGTTTAATGTTTACCAGGCTTAGATGATAATGCTCTGCACTTTAATAACATCTTGGTCGTGGTCTGAAGACTTGGTCTTCAGTGACTTACCCAGGGAGACTTTGGCATGTTGGAGGACCACTGACCGAACCACCAACCTTAAGATTAGAGGACAGCAAAGGAAAATCACCAGGGTCAAAAGGATCACAACTTAGAATTAAAGCCGCAAGCG